CTGTACTGTAAATCACACCATAAGGCATCCCCTGCTTTATGGTCTATGTTACTGGGACTATCATTTACTGAGTTATCTTCTCACTGTATTAAAGACTTGAAATGAGAGACTGAGATCATAAAGTCATCAGGAAAATATTTACTGAGGTTGTAAAGCGCAGAGGTCGATTCAATCGCCCCCTGCTGGGAGAAATTTTCCTTGAGGGTTTTCTACCAGAAAGATTCTCCTGGTTAAGGTTAGAAAAAAAGTTTTGGTTTGGCAGCAGTGTATATTTAAAGTACCTAAAGTAAAAGTACTCACATGCAGAATGACCCAATTTAGAATAATATTTATGATATTATTGGTGTATTAATGTGTTCATTATTTTTAACGTTACAGCTCATTTTAAAGACTTTATAAACTCGTGGGTAGCTCGTGAATTTGTCCTCCAGGGCCAATACATTTGATCTTAATTTATAATATTACAACATAATTTATTTGTTAATTCTATTTTGTATAATTATGAAGTTATTGATTAAATGTAGAAGAGTCTAAAGTGTTGTCCTGAATGTAGTGGAGTGAAAGAGGAAAGCAGCATCAAGCTGAAATACCCGAAGCACAAGTATCTCATTTACTTGAAAAAACATACAATTATAGAATTAACCATAATTACTGTTTGTGATAGTTAATAAATGAGGAGCTGTGTTTTTATTGTGTTATTAAAGTTTATGTTCTGCTGATATATTTACACTGAGTGTGTCACTGAAGCAGAGGGAGAGGAGTGTTTGTTTATGGAGGGCAGATGTCTCTGTGTCATTCAGCACTGTGATAATCTCACTGAAAACCACACAACTATTTTTACCTCCTCACCCCGACAGCTCCCTCCCTCCCTGTGTCCGTCCCCCCGTCCTTCTGTGTCCCTGTGCGTCTCTCCTTCAGCCCTCAGTGTTTCTGAGGCTCCGCAGTGTCCACAGCATGTAAATGCCCTGATCTCCATGAACGCTCCTCAGGTACTGTGTTTAAACTTTATATCTGTTGTTCATCACAAACTTTAAAGAGCAGTGAATCTGTTTAAGGTGCTGAGACATGAAAGAGTCAGTCATTAATCATGGAGGGAATTCAGATGAAAATAATCCATCACTGCTTTGTGTTACTCTGTGAAACCAGGTTTTTTATTTATTATTTATAATGAACTAAATATTTAAAGATTAACTTGGTGAATAAATTTATAATATCAAACCAGGTGAGCTGAAGATTGTAGATGAAGATGTTTAACACTTTCTGCTCATTTATCATTTTATAATGTTGTGTATGAGGATCATAGAAATTATAAATGATCATTAATACAGACGGGCTTTGACTGATTATTACATAAAATATTTTCATTATTAATTGTGAATAATATTGAATATTGAAAAATTCAAATTTTATTATTTATTCATTTATTTATTGTATAAACAAAAGAATATTTGATTAATATTGACAACTATTTTAATAAGTCTTGAAATAGTAAACATAATTTACAACCAAATATAAATAGTTTACTAACACTAGTAAACCATGAGTAATGTTGTGTTCGTATCAAATTTGATGCAAATTTTTGTGTCACGTTACTTGTAAGAGTCTGAATGCTAGAAAATTTTGTGTTGACTCGCTTCATATGCCTGTGAAATCGCTGAATTGATGAATGAACCTCTGCCGGCCAACATCCTTAGCGTCACACTTCCCTGGAAGATCGGTGCCCATCGCGCCGCGTGGCAAGAATTTGCATCTAATCGCATCTTTACATTTACTTTACATATACTTCTTTTCTGCGTCACATTACTCGCACAAGTTTGAATGCTAGAGTATTTTGTGTTGACACGCTTCATACGCACAAATAACTTGCATTATCAGTGCATGAAATCGCTGAATCGATGAATGAATTTCTGCCTGAACGTCCTCAGCATCGTACGTCTCCATGATCAACACTGATTAGGTACTGCCGCGCAAATCGGTCGCTGAACTTCTTTATCTTTTTGCAACTAAGCGTATGACACAAAATCACACTACTCGCTCCATGTGCACCGCTTAATTTGTATATTTTGTGTCATTCGCGTCGTTTCCATCACGATGCCCGGCGGAAACCCGCGTCTAATTGCATCTTTACATTGACTTTACATGTAATTCACTTGTGTGAATTGTTTTATTCACGCCCAAATGTGATGCGAATTTTCATGTCGCATTACTTGTGCAAGTATAAACACTAGAATATTTTGTGTTGACTGGCTTCCCAAGTGCGAATAACTTGCGTCATACACATGTAAAATTGCTGAATCAATGAATGAACTTCCACTGATACGTCCTCGATGTCAAACGTCCCCAGAGGATCTCAATGCAGATTGGCTATCTCGGCGCAAATTGGTCGCTGAAGTTTAAACTTTTCAACTCTCACAAATAAGCTTATAATGGGAAATCGCACTACTCACTTCATTCACGCCACTTAATTCGAATTTTTCGTGTCTTTCGCACCACCCAGCGGGAATTAGCATCTAATCACGTCTTTGGATTGACTTTACATGTAATTCACTTTGAATTGTTTTATTGACACCCGCCCAACATTACGTTGTGTTCACACCAAATCCGATTTGAATTTTTGCATTGAGCTACTTGCGAGTTTGAACGCTAGAATTGGTGTTTACATGCTTTATACGCATGTATAACTTGCATCATACATGCGTAAAATAGCTGAATCGATGAATGAACTTTCGCTGGTGCGTCCTCACCTTCATACGTCCCTGGTTGATCTCAATGCTGATTGGCTATCGTGGTGCGAATCAATCGCTGAAGTTCAGATTTTTTAATGAATAAGCATATGACACAAAATCATGCTACTAGCTTAATTTGCGCCACTTAATTTGCGTCTTTTGCATCATTCGCTCTGCGTCCATTGCATCCATCGCACCACTCGATGGGAATCCGTGTCTAATTGCATCTTTACATCTATTTCACTTGCCTGAAATGTTTTATTTGCGCCCGCTGAATAGAAGGTTTTGGTAAAAAACAGCTCATTTGATAGTTATGGTTGTTGACCCCTGTGCCATTTGACTGGTGGACAGAAAATTTTGCACCCTGAATCTGACCTCAACACAGCATCTTACCCAACATTCTATTAAGAAGAGTAAAAAGCAGAAAGTTCAGCATCACCGCTGACCGGATGACAAGATGTTTGGATTCTCTGGGAGAGGGTCAGTCGTACTTTTCTCTGGACGATAAACAAAACAGACACCGGCTTATTGCCTCATGATAGACGTACTGGTAAAACAAATTCACTCTCAATGACACAAAGAAAATAATTTGGATTTTTTAATTAATGACAAAACATCATGGAAGAAGAAAAAGGTTGTGAAAATAATAAAGGTTTAACCATCACTGACAAATACTGATCAGTATGTTTACTTCAAGTGAACTAGTGTAGAGCTGCAACGATTAATCAATAAATAAATAAATTAGTCAGTCTACAAGAAATTAATTGGCACCTATTCTGATACTATATATTTCTGCTTAGCTAAGGGATTTGCACAGAATCCCTTAAAAGGTTTCCTTCGTTAAGGACATTTTTTTTTTTTAGCTTATTTACTGCATTGAAAGAGATTTTACAGATGTACAGTTTCCATGAAGATTGTTTGTTTGTTTGGACAGAGGAAGAAAAGATTAAACTTCTGGATGAAAACAATCATAGAAAGCACAAACTACAAAGTAAATTTGGTCCCCAAATACCAGAAAACAGGAAATGACTGTAGGAAGAAGCAACAAAAACTAATTCAGTCAAATCTAAAGTGTATCCGTCAGGTTCTCCTGGTCACAGAACAGTCTTCGTGGGGTGTGTTAGTTTTTTCATTTATCACCATAAACTCAGTCATGCTGAAGTTAAGACAGAGTCAGAGGTACCTTTTACCCTGCTTTGGTTGCTAAGGTCTTTTGTGCAAAGGTCAAGGGATTCCTTAAGTATAAGACCAAGACAAGGAGAAACCTTAAATACTTAAGTAACCGTTTTCAGGAAACCTTAAAGAGAGGACCGAAGGGTGTTTGTGCAACTGACTGTATCATGAGGAAACCTTAACTAGGACTTTAAAGAAAATCTTAAGTTAAGGTGTTTTGTGAAACTGGCCCCTGAAGCTTTTCTTTGTCATACCTGATGATGAAGTGAACACCATCTGAAGACGTCACCTCGGACTCTGGGAAGTTACACAGCAGGAAAGGACGGCAGAGGAGACGTCCTCACACCAAAACAGGACAGCCACTAAAAAGGTTCACAGGCTGAGATCAATTTAAAAAACAAACAATTTTTTCAGTATTTCAATTAAAACAAAAATATATTTGTAATAAAAAAATAAAATAAAATTGTATTTTCTCTATTTTATTTGTTATTTTATGTTTAATTTTATTTATTTTTGTATTTATTCTGTGTATAGCTGTGTTTTTTGTACATTTGTATATGTTTTGTACAGTGAACAAGCAGATTCATCTATAATAACACTAAATTGTCGGCTGCAGCCCTGCTGTTGTTACCGTTCATCGATAATGACCTTGATAAAGTTATTTATTGATCGATCCGGTCATTAGCTCTGAATGTGTCTTTATATTTAGTGAGCGCTGCTGTGTGGTTTCCATGTGAGGCCAAATTGCTGTAAAGAGATCAGATATCATCTAAATCTGTTGGAGCTCCCCGTCGGCACTTTAGCTGCTGAGCTAATGTTAGCTAACATTAGCATTTCATACACCGGCTGAGCAAACAGACCTGAGACCAGCGGCAGACGCAGAATCACCACAGAGCAGCTCACACGTGTCATGTAGCGATGAAACAGTCGCCATCACACTCTGACTCAGAGTCTGAGCAGGTACAGTGTTGATCTGAACCTGGTGTCTGAATGGTACTGTTTTTATCTTTGTTACCAGAGAAGAAGAAGAACATCAGTATAACAGCCGATTCTGAACAGTTCTGTTTGTGGAACTAAATTCATGTTCTCTATGTTCTGCAGGAGACCCGACTGCCAAAGTCCAGCAGCTGATGATCCAGAGTGACTCCGGCTGGTTCAGTGTCAGTTTGTGGAACGTTACATGTTCACTGTGAAGCTGCAACAGAAGGAGGAGAGGAGATAAAGAAGAAGAACAAAGCCGTCAGAACGATGAGAGAACTCGTTCATGTTCTGTCCAGAGAAAATCACTTTAATTTGAAGTGAGACGACAAACACTGGGATTCTTCAAATCTGACAGGATTCTGGATTTAATCTTTGTTCATGACGACCGGAGAGACTGAGGAGACATGTGGAGGACAGCAGGAGGCAGGAAGAAGAGAAGAAGGAGGGAACATGAAGGTGTCTCGCTCTTTCACTACTCTGAGCACCATCGCCATCCAGGCCGGCCAATCACTGCTGGTCATCTCTGTCCTCAAGGTACGTCTGACAGTAGGTTAACACACAAGGGAACACTTAAAGGTCACAGTCTAACAGGAAGTCAGTCAAACGTCAGCGATATCAATGTGTTCATTTATGAAGCACAAGTGATTGTGAATCAGTTTCAGCTGCTTTGGTGCAAATCAAAGTGACAACAGGTGCAATGGAGAGGCAAAAGCAAGACAACACCCAAAAAGGGAATGGTTTTACATGTGGTGTCCACAGACAGCTGCTCTCTCCTTATCCTTCCTGACTGATTCTTCTCTAGTTTGGTCTTCTGCTAGTGTCCTTGTCACTACTGGTAGCATGAGGTGGTACCTGCAGCCCAGTCAGGTCGCACAGGTAGTCCAGCTCCTCCAGGATGACACATCGATTCGTAAAGGTTTGCTGTGTCTCAAGAGCGTGGTGGAGATACTAGGAGACCAGTCGTTACACCAGGAGAGCTGGACAGGGCCGTAGAAGGGCATCAACCCAGCAGCAGGACCGGTATCTGTTCCTTTGTATGAGGAGGAACAGGAGGAGCACTGCCAGAGCCCTACAAAATGACCTCCAGCAGGCTGCTGGTGTGCATGTTTCTGACCACACTGTCAGAAACAGACTCCACGAGGGAGGCATGAGGGCCCCACGTCCTCTAGTGGGACCTGTGCTCACAGCTCAGCACCATGCAGCTCAACTGGCATCACCAGAAGTGGCAGGTCCACCATTGGCGCCCCGTGCTCTTCTCAGATGAGAGCAGGTTCACACTGAGCACACTGACAGGCGTGTAAGAGTCTGGAGACGCCGTGGTGAATGTTATGCTGTCCGTGACATCATCCAGCATGACCGGTTTGGTGGTGGGTCAGTGATGGTCTGGGGAGGCAGATCCTTCCTTGGAGGGTCACACAAGGATCACCTCCTGGTGCAGCGGGCCCTGGGTTCCTCCTGGTGCAGTGGGTCCTGGGTTCCTCCTGGTGCAGGACCTGGTGTGGTCAGAGTGTGTAGGCAGTTCCTGGATGATGAAGGCACTGATGCCATTGACTGGTCCTCTCTTTCCTCTGATCTAAATCCAATTGAGCACCTATGGGATGTTATGTATCGGTGCATCTGATGCTGCCAAGTACCACCACAGACTGTCCAGGAGCTCACTGATGCCCTGATCCAGGTCTGGGAGGAGATCCCCCAGGACACCATCTGCCGACAGAGAGCATACTGGCACGTGGGGGCTTATAGACAGCTAGCTTTGACTTAATGTTGATAAAAATCAGAATACTTACCTTAAATTTACTGAGTTTAGAGACACTGACACTCGACTTGAACGAGTTCTGAGACTTTGAAGTTTCTCTGGAGGCTTCGGGAGATACGAGTTTTCCAGTCACATGTGCTGTTTCCTGTTATAGAACAAACTATTTACTGATACTGCTTAAAGGGGACTGAGCTGTGTGTGTGTGTGTGTGTGTGTGTATAACAGCTGATGCCTCTCACTGTTTTGAAGGTGTGTGTGTGTGTTTTTGAAATATGTGTGTATGCCGGAAAGTAGGGCTATTGCCATTGTTTTTGAAGTGTGTGTGTGTGTGTGAGGTTATATGTGTTTGTGTGTGTGATTTAGTGCGTGTGTGTGTTTGTGTGTGTGTGTTTGTGTGGTCATGCGTCACGTTGTGTCTTTTTTGGTCGACATGCCAGAGATACTGTATCATCCTGAGGAATGCAACACACACACAAACACGCACTCAAACACACACGTGCACAGAGACACATGCAGCTCTGTCCGACCTGCTGCAGACAACATGACAAAATATTATGAATAAAACTTTATCAGCAGTTTAATGTAACAACAAACTGGTGAACTGAGTCTAACCAACTTCATCAGTAGTTATCATTACAGCTGGTGGAAAGTAACTAAGTACAACAATACTCAAGTACTGTACTGGAGTACAGTTTAGAGGTACTTTTTCATCACTCAGTGACAGAACAGACTGTTTTTAATACTGACTGTGTGTGTGTGTGTGTGTGTGTGTGTGTGTGTGTGTGTGTGTTCAGAGTGGGTATCTGGTCCACGTCCAGCTGGTCCAGGTCCATCCAGGTCTCTGTGAGATCGGATCAAACCAGGAGGAGAATCAGACCCTGATCCAGGAACAGCAGCACCTGATGGAGAAACTCAAGGTACACACACACCCAGCCCGGTCACCAGAAGAAAACATTTGCATCGTACGTTTATGAAAACCACAAAGACGTCACATTTGTACGTTTCACACTTAAACAGTACCTTTCTAGTCTTCCGACCACTCAAAGTGCTTTTCCACTATGTCACATTCACCCATTCACACACACTGATGGCCGAGGCTACCGTACATGGTGCCACCTGCGGCTCAGTAACCACTTACACACTCTCACACACTGATGGAACAGCCATCGGGAACAATCTGGGGTTCAATATCTTGGCCAAGGATACTTCAACCAGGAGCCAGGGATCGAACAGCGGACCTTCTAGTTCATGGACGACCTGCTCTACCTCTGAGCCACATCGACTAGAGGAATAAACGATGCCAGCGTCACTCGTCGGCAAACTTGTTAAAATGTATCAGGCCTGTTTGGATCGACATGCGAAGCCCAGTTCAGATCAAAGATTCACGATGAGACAAAACCATTTTAGAATGTTGCAGAAGAGCTCATCTCAAGCCGGCTGATGGTGTCACCTGCAACTCAGCTGGTCAAATCGCCGGTGGCTGGTTCTCTCTTAAATACACAGCAAATAATATTAACTTTTGAACAAGTGAGTTATTGTCATGTTTTTGTAGAATAACCTGTAATGTTTGTAATACCAGGTTGGCTATGCTAATGAGTGAACTTGTTCATTTTATTGGTGTCAGGACTGTGAGGAGATTTGTTCTGCATGAACCCTTTTTTTACCATCTGTTGTTTCAGAAACACGAGGCGGAAGTTCTTTCTGTGGTGGAGAGGAACCAACAGAATGAGCAGAGGAAGAGGACGAGGATGAAGAGTGAAGAGACAATGAACACGAACAAGGACAAGGAGGAAGTGCATGAGGCCATGGAGGCGTCTCTGAACGAGGGATGGTCTCTGCTCCTCTGTCTGCTACAGAGACGACAGGAAGTCCTGACGCTGGCTGCAGAGTTTTACCGCCGAGCTCTGGAGGTACCGTTGAAGAATGACCTCCACAAGGATTCAGTACACTGAACTGGTCACAGGATTAATATAAAATTAATGTATTGAAATGTCAGAAATTATAAATAAATAAATACAAACATAAGTAAATTAAAAATGTAGAAATAAAAAAAAATAATAATACAAAAATAAATATGTTTGGGGAAATTAGCAGGGAAAATTCAAAGGGCAAATAATAAACCAGTAAATGAATACAGAAATAAATAAATAGATACAAACATGTGTAAACTGAAAATGAATAAATAATTAAAGGGGAAAGTTTAATAAGTTAATAAATATAAATACAAAAAGAAGCACATTTACAGAGAATGTTAATTTATGTCACATTTTATCACTCAATTTATCAATGTATTCATGCCTACATTTATTTGTAATATTTTTGGTACGTTTATTGACATATTAATGTATTAATTGAATCATTTATTTATATATTTTTTTATTTTGGCAGTGTCAGCCCTCCATAGCTGATTTCCTGGTTAGGAAGGGATTTTAAAATCCCATCAAATTAGCATTATTATCTGGACCTTACTCATTTTTAAAAAACATTTTCACAAAGTTGCACACCTAAAAACAAAGCGCTGTGAGGAGGAACAGGAGAACACTGGCTCACACTTCCTGATTTAACTTTAGTCTCTGAGACGACCTGGTTATCTGTGTTTTTGTCCTTTAAATATGAAGGAGAGTATTTACTGTCCTGTGTTGAACCCTGAACATGCACTCTGTGTTGATGTAATACAACTCTCACATGTTCATCTACTGTGAAGCTGTTTGTGACCTTTGACCTCCTCCCTGTCAACAGTAAAAGGACGCGGTCCGTCCTCTGAGAACGTGATTTATCCCTGTCTCGTGTCTCTGTGAAGGACGTTTGTTTCAGCCTCACATTCCTCAGGCTGTGCTGTGGATTTGCCGGATCTGTGGTGTGCTGCTGTGAGCCGTGCTCATTGGACGGCTGCCATTTTATTAGCAGCACCTGCTGTCTGAGGACGCTCACCTGCTGCAGCCTTCGCCCAAACAGTCCAACAATGAGATTCTATTTTCATCCTCTCTGAACAAACATCAGGTTTAGATGTGCTAGCAGCTCTTTGGATGATAATGCCAAGTGTGTCGGTCACTGATCCACCACTTTGGTCCAGATTATAACAGATGAAAGAGCTTTTGAATGGATTTCCATGAAATTATTGTTTAGACATTCAAATTCCCCAGAGGATGAATCCCTCTGACTTCAGTGATCCTCTGACTTTTGCGCGAGCAACACTAAGAGGTTGAGTTTTGTGATTCTGACCGAAACATTTCAACGTCTTTTGGATGAACTTTGATGAAATGCGGTCCATCGTTCGTGATCCCCACAGGATGAACTGTAATAACTTTAATGATTCTCTGACTTTCTAACGCCATCATCAGGTCAACATTTTAGTGTGTTAAATACTTACTCAATATGTGACGAGGTTGGAGTGAGAATATGTTGTCACTAGCGATCTCCTGGATGTGGTGGTTTCTACATTCTGGTATCACTTGCCGTCGCATCATCTCATCACTTCAGTTCATTGTCTTGAGAAGTTGTCTGGTGTCTCTAGTTCAGATTTTCAGTGGTTAAAATCCCAAACTGCCCACAGAACATCATCAACACTTTGTTTTCTACTTAATTTTAGTAATGATTTTATTTGTGGTGTGCCACAAGGCGCCATGTTAGGTCCATACACATTCTTATTTATACATGCTCCCCTATATCCTGCAAAACCACACCTGTCCGGGTGAGATCCTTCATAATATTACAATGTACAACTACAATAAAAACCTTCATCACCATATGAACCAGTACAACCTGATGATACTGGAAGTTTCAAAATCTGCTTTAACAGCATTAATCTGGGACGTCAGCTTGATGAATGCTTCCAGTCCAAACAGACTGCATCTCAGTTTTACCTTCATGCTCGACTTTAAACACACCTGACACTAACATCTATCTGTCTGTTAACACCTGTATCTGTCTGTCTGTCTGCAGTTTGCTGTCAGTGTGGACAGATTTGAGGATCTACAGATCAGATCGGACAACGTCACACTGACTGAGGTGCAGCTCAGATATGACTCCATGAGGAAAGGTACCAGTGATAATATTAGTTTTAGTATCAGCAGTATTTATAGAATTAAACACAGCTGCAGCACAAATTTAATTTATTGCCTTAAACTGCCTGAAGGCATGAATGACTGGTCTGAACCCTCCTGAATGCAGATACAGATATTTTAAAATAACTCACGCCAGTATAAACTGCATGTGAACTGGTTTGTTGTAGGTTGAGTTACAGGAGGTTAAAAACTATTTAAACAGGTTTTATACTGGTGTAAAACTATAGTGCACTGGTTTAATCCATAGAAAACTGATTTAAACCCATTCAGACTGGTTTACAATTTAGATAAACTGGTTTACACTCGTTAAGACCACATTAAATTAATGTTATAAACTAGTTTGAAAGGGGAAAAACAGTTTTAAATTATACATAAAGTGATTTGAACTGGTAACAATGGTTTTAAATGATGTATAAAATTGTTTACACCACATTAAATTAATGATATAAACAAGTTTAAATGGGTAAAAATGGTTTTAATTGATATATATACTGGTTTAAACCAGTAAAATGGTTGTCAAGGATGCATAAACTGGGTTAACCTTTGATTTAACTGGTTTAAACCACACTAAATTAATGATATAAACTAATTTAAATGGGTAAAAATTGTTTTAAATTATGTATAAACTGGTTTAACTTTAGAGAATCTGGTTTAAATTACATTAAATGATGTATAAACTTTGAAGAAACTGTTATAAATCCTGGATAAACTGGTTTTCAGTGGAATAAATGATGATTAAACTGGTTTAAACTGGTTTGTTGCAGGTTGCTGGTTGTGTCTGACAGAGTTGTGTTATGAATCACTGCAACATGAAATAAAATCTCTCTGATCGTTGATGTCTTTGTGTTTTGATTTCAGATCTTCTGGGAAAATCTCTGCAGGTTTTAAGCAGCAGCAGCGTCCTACTGCAGAAACTGAGACAGCTGCAGAGGACCGAGGCCCTCCAGAGGAGAGGAGGAGTACTGCAGGACCAGGAGGAAGAGGAGGAGGAGGAGGTGAAAGTGTTTCAGCTGCACATCTGACAACTGTAGAACAGATTTACTGAAAAAATGTGGTATTTGTATTGACTTTACAGCTTTAGTCTTCATGTATTCACTGCTGTGACATTGCTGTGGGGCGTGGCTACAGGTGCACCAGAGGACTCTTGCACTCTTTGTCGAACATGTAGGTTGATGCTGATGCTGCGTCCTCTCTCCAGAGCTCCCGGTGCAGCAGAGGGGTGGTGCTGAGGGTGGAGGAGCTGGTGGAGACGCTGCAGGATCGGAGGAGGAGGGCTGACCAGGCCTTCAGGCTGCAGCTCCAACAGGTGGAGAACAACATCAAGAAGGAAGAAGAGACCACAGAGGCTGAGTCTGAAGTAAGAGACAAACACAGCAGAGAGCAGACTCACAGCCTCATCATCACACACTGATTTAATTTATACAATTTATTTTGATAAGATATGAGATACACCTTTATTAGTCCCACAGCACCATACATACATCTATATCTATTCATATCTATGTCCATCTATATCTATATCCATCTATAGGTAGATAGACATTGATATAGATGTATATATATATTCCATGTGAAATACAGTGTAGTAATGTATGAGAGAATTACGGATGTGACAGCAGAGTGATTGAAGTGGCAGCAGTGAGAGTCATCAGTCTGATCTGTCGGCGTCCATCTAGAGTTCAGTTATAAATATCAGTCCTGTCTGCAGTCTCAGTCTTCGCTCTCACATGACCTCCCATTTAGAAAATAACCCTCAGATATTACACAGTGTTTCATTCTGACATTAGAACATCACGTTAAACATGCAGACGTTAATTTAAGAGTTGATTTGTCTGATTTCCAAGCAGCGATCCAAAACCTGCAGTTCCTCTGACGTCCACACACAAAACTTAAAATGCTAATGTGTCAAGGCTTCACAGTTTACTGTTTCTTGTCTGTAAAATGAAATAAAATCAAAGCTCTGTTTCTGCTGAGGGAAATGTTTTTGACTTTACTAAAATAAACAGGAGGTTGACTTGACTTTGGACAATGTTAACGTAAGTATTTACAGGCAATTGTACAGGGGCTGAACCTTTTATATAGCTCTGCTGTTTATATTTTATTAAAGCAGCTGTGCGGAACTTTTTACCATTTATAAAACTGCAGCGGGCATTGCTGAACACATAACAGTTTTACCAGATGTGTCTATAAGGACTTGGTTGTACTTTCGATGTCATGGCGGATAAAGAAGGAGCACCATCTAAAAGAAAAAGAACAGAAGAACAGAAGAAGGCTAAACGGGACAGTGATAAACACGTGTAAACCTTGGTCGGGCATTCACCAAGTGGAGAGAGCTGAGAGATTTGAAAGGTTTTAAAACTGATCCCGAGTTGGCCCTTTTCCTAATCGACAGGTATGTAATTTTTGTTTTTATTTAGAGAATAAACCGCAACTTGTTAGACGTTGTTTCACTTCAATATACGACGACATGGAGGTTATAAGCAAGCTAAATGTAACGTTAGCTGATGTGAACCGCTTTTGTCTAGTAACGTTACAACAAACGCCACAAAATGATCTGTGACTGTGACCATGAACACAAATATACAGCAGGCAGTTGCCCCTGGTTGAAGTGTGTAACCGAAGTGTAATGTTAGTAACGTTAATCCTCTCGCTCTCCAAAACAAACGCATGCGGTAATTGCCGGTTGCAGTCGAGATTTTACGAATGAAGCCGAATGCCGGCTGCAGTCGGAATTTTACGACACCAGGCTGTGGGTGTCATACCGCTTCGACCAAAAGGGCGCTATAATCAACGGAAATGGAAAGTTCCGCACAGCTGCTTTAAGGCTTAAAGTTAAGGGCGGGGCCTCTTTGAGTGACAGACTGTCTGCAAGGTCCTGCTACAGTCCATGAGTCAGATCCACCCCTTGCTCCTCTACAGCTCCACCCTCTCACCCAAATATGGTCACTTCTGGCTCCAAAAAAACAACATGGCGACAGTCTAAATGCCGAACTGAAGGCTAAGAAACAGGAGTCCACAAACCAGTGGGTGAAGTCATGATAGCTACGTCAGTTAATTTATACAGTCTATGGTGTAAACCTTGACTTAGACCACGCTCTTTAGCAGAGGTGGAACCTGAATCAAGACACGGCTAAAGGGGGAATCCAAACATTTGGACTTCCGTGGACCTGCAGACTTTACTGTTGTGTACTGGTGACGGTCTGTCAAGACTCTGTTAGATTTTTTCATCAAGTCCACAAAACCACTGCATTCTCCAGAAACTCCACCAGACTTTGTCCAGGTTACCCATAGATAAATTCACCAGGTCATGTTCATGTAGTGATGTCTATCATTGCCCTTTTGCCCAAATATGGTCACTCCTGGCTCATAGAAAACAAGATGGTGACGAAATCGGGGCTTTAAAAACGGGAGTCCACAAATCAGTGGGTGACGTCATGGTAGCTGCGTCAATTATTTCAACAGTCAGTGTTGATCTTTCACTGTACAACAATAGTGTTTAACATTAACAGGAAGTTCATGAAGAAGAGTCAGACGTGCAGTATTTATACTGACACATCCCTCTGTCTCCACTGCAGGACTGGAGTCTCACAATTCATGAGATCCTGGACCAGGACCTGCAGAGCACAGACCTGAGGTCAGATTCAACAACAGCAACAGGAACCACAGACCTGCAACCAGGATCCAAGTCAGACCTCAAGTCAGAATCGAAATCAGATTACACTGGAGACCTTAACCCCGCAGCCAGTTCAGACCAGACACCAGGACTGAACTCATATCTGAAGCCAGAATCCAGATCAGAGGACACCAAAGACCTGCAACCCAGATCAGAGTTGAAGCCTGGATCTAAATCAGACCTGTTTAAAAACCAGTCTGGATTCACATTAAACCTGATGGCTCGTTCTAGATCTGACCCCAAGTCAGATTCTAAACCAGAGGAGAGCCAAATCCTGCAGCCCGGATCTAGTTCAGACCAGACGTCAGGACTGAGATCATATCTGAAGCCAGAATCCAGATCAGAGAAGACCCAAGACCTGCAGCCTAGAACTGGATCAGCCTCACAATCTGGATCCAGATCAGAGGAGTCAGGATTAAAGTCCAACCTGCAGCCAGGATCCAGGTCAGACCTCAAGTCAGAATTTAAATCAGACGAGACTGAAGTCCTTCAGCTCAAATCAAAGTCTGGATCTAAACCAGACCTGATCAAAAACCTGCAGTCTGGATTCACATTAAACCTGATGGCTCATTCTAGATCTGACCTCAAGTCAGATTCTAAACCAGAGGAGACCAAAGACCTGCAGCTCGGATCTAGTTCAGACCAGACGCCAGGACTGAGATCAAATCTGAAGCCTGAATCCAAATCAGAGCTGCAGCTTAAATCCAGATCAGAAGAGACCAAAGACCTACAGCCTGGATCTGGATCAGCTTCACAGTCTGGATCCAAATTAGAAGAGTCAGGATTAAAGTCCAACCTGCAGCCAGGATCCAGGTCAGACCTTGAGTCAGATTCTAAACCAGATGAAACCAGAGACCTTCAACTTGGATCAGAGATGAAGCCTGGATCTAAACCAGACCTGATCAAAAACCTGCAGTCTGGATTCACATTAAACCTGATGGCTCGTGCCAGAACTGACCTCAAGTCAGATTCTAAACCAGAGGAGAGCCAAGACCTGCAGCCCGGATCTAGTTCAGACCAGACGCCAGGATTGAGGTCATATCTGAAGCCAGAATCCAGATCAGAGCTGCACCCTGAATCTAGATCAGAGAAGACCAAAGACCTGCAGCCAAGACCTAGATCAGCCTCAGAGTCTGGATCCAGATCAGAGGAGTCAGGATCCAGGTCAGATGAATCTGTGTGACGGAGCTGTGATCTGTTCAGATTTCTAACATTTGTAAAACATGAAATCTGCAATCTGCATTTCTTCTTCTGTGGTGCAGTGAACAGGTGGCAGGGCTGCAGAGCATGCTGGGAAAAGAGACTCCAAGTGAAGAAAGCCACGCCCACCAAACCCTCCTGACCAATCAGAGGCTCCAGCTGCTGTCGTCATGTGAACGCCTCATCGACAAGGTTTGGTTTTTCCTTCTTTACAGCAGCTTCATGTTGCTGTTTGAGATAGAGGTACTTTAGTGTGTGTGTGTGTGTGTGTGTGTGTGTGTGTGCGTGTGCGTGTGCGTGTGTGTGTGTGTGTTGCAGGTGTGTACCTGGGTGCAGCAGGGCAGCAGTGTGTTGTCTAACAGCTGTGAAGCCGGACAGAAGCTCTCTGAGGCCGAAGACACTCTGAACACACACCTACAGCTGCAGACACAAGCTGAGGTATATATACACACACACACAGACACACACACACACACACACACACACACACTTACATACATGCACACACTATTTATTATGCCTCCACACCGACGATGGCCGTGGCCAGAGGCATTTTGTTTTCGGGTTGTCTATCCATATGTACTTCCCTCCCATGCTTGTGAACATGATATCTCAAGAACAGCTTGAGGGAATTTCAAATTCAAATTTGGCACCAACATCCATTTGGACAGAGGAATAAACTGAATAGAATTTTGTGGTTGAAGGTCAAAGGTCAGTGCCACTTCACAAAATATGTTTTTGACCATAACTCAAGGATTCATAAGCTGAAAACACACCAGCGCTGCCGCAGGACAGCGCATCATGTGACATGTGTTAAGTGCCGCCCCAGCACACACTGTACGCATCAGGCTGCAGCTCGTCAACAGATGACCATACAAAGTTATTATTAACAACCACGGGGTGATAATTCTAGTTTTTATTTTAACTTTAATCCCTTATAAAACACTGGAGCTTTGGAAAAAAAAAAAAAAACAGTCCCACCCATTAGCCCCGTTTTGGATCCATTGTCACATTATATAACAGTCATGTCTGTGAAGTGATTTGAAATCTGTCACTTATAAAAACAGTCATCAGATGTTGTTAAAATAAAGTTAATAATCAAAATCAAACCTGAAACTGAACCCACTCTCAGATCCTGGATCAGTTTTGGGTAAATCCATTTTTTCACCTGAACGTTGGTTCTGTGTTTGTCTCCAGTCCACAGGCCTCGACGCAGAGAACATGAAGCAGATCCTGGATCAGATCAGAGCTCAGCACACCAGTAGAACCAGTCCGCAGCCTCCCCCTGATCCCAGTAGACAGCTGTCCCCTCTGAGGGCTCTGACAGAGCAGCTGAAGAGACGCTGTGCAGGAGGACAGACCAGAACCAGCTCTGCTCCTCCTGCTGCAGACCTGACGACCTCACTGAGTCCTGAACTCACTAGTCGAGTGAATCAGGTCCTGAAGGAGCTGCAGAGTCTGAAGATGAAGATCGACTCAAACCTGCAACTGCTGCGACCCTACGTCTCTTTCCTCAGGACAGCCCAGCAGGTCAGATTGTCCTGTGGTGTCCATGAAGACAGTCCACTGGGTCTGTGTCCATCTAAACGACCTGATGTCTCTGTAGCTCTTTTATCCACTTCCTTACACACTAAACATCGCCGGGTCCTTTAATGAATACCTATGGATAATAGGGTTATTTATTGTGTCACTGCTGGGTTATTTAAAAAAAAATTAAACCATTGAATCAGACTGAATATGTCAGCTTGAAAAGCCTTAGTTTATAAAAAGCTAAAGTGAAAACAGTTCACAGTATATTCTACTTTAGTTAACAACCCAATGTTAATGAAATGTATCATGTATCAGATCTACTTGGGTGGGAGCAGCTCCTCTTTCTGATGCATGAAATTAACTGTATAAAAATACTTAAATTGATATTTAGTGATGCAAAGTGTGATGAAGCGTAGATCAGTTCTGAGAGTTCTGCATTAAAATGTTACTAAAAGTACAGAAGGATCAACAGATATGTGTACCACAAGTATCCACAGTAAAAGTACTTCAGAATGAGTGCTGCTGTTTGTTCTGTGTGAGCTGTAATGTAGAGTGCAGCCTCTGGGGGGCGCTGGCAGAGAAATATGGTCAGTCACCAGGTGAAGCTAACTGGGCTGTCAGCTGATGGTGCTCCTTTCTTCCAGGTGGAGGAGGAGCTGGGAGACCTGGGGGAGCTCTACAGAAGGAGACCAGAGGAGGAGAAGGAAGGTGGTGGCTCCAGGTCATCAGTGAAGAAGAAGAAGAAGAAGCAGGTTGACAGCTGCTGGCAGGAAACGCAACAGAGGCTTCTCACCTGTCAGGACCTGGGAAACAACTTCCTCCATACTGTTACCATGGTAACCAGACTGTCGTGAATCCAAACAAAGGGGACGATTCAAATGTGACATCCTGTGAACCACGACGAAGAATTTAGAGTGATATTTTTATGTTTGTGTCAGGTATGTGGATCAACGTTGAACCTGCAGACTGTGGTGTTGGCGGTGCAGCAGACGCTGAAGCAACTCAGCAGAACCAAACAGGAAGTGAATGAGCTGCGGAGTCAGCGGGAAATGCAGATCCAAGAGCAGCAGGAGAACTACAGGAAGTACTCAGAGAGACTATACAAGGTACTCACTACTGCACCACAGGGTACTCACTACTACACCACAAGGTACTCACTACTACACTACAAGGTACTCACTACTGAACCACAGGGTACGCCCTACTACACCACAATGTACTCAC